GAGTTTAGAATATAATGAGACGCTGCAATTGTAGCCTGAATTTGAGTTTTGAGTGATGGACGCAACATGGTCTATGTTGCTTATTCACGTGATAATAATTTATTTGATTGAAATCACACTTGAAATGAAAGCTATGTTTTCAATATAGCATAATTGTTTTCCTATCGAGGCTATATTGAATTGAAAGCTATGGTCACCGTCGTTTTAATTATTTTTTGCAGGCTAGTTTATTTTGCTAGTCCATGGTTCTCCACATTATGCACATCGAATTGATATTTCTGAGAATGCATTGCACCATTTGTTATTGTCCGAAGTTCATTTTGAGAATGTATTGAGTCATTTGTTATCGTCCGGAGTTTGTTATCGGATTTTTTTTTGATTGAATAAATAAATGTATAGATCAAAATTTGAGTACAGCTACTCCAGGTATCTCCCAGCTTACAAAATAAACATTACAATCGATCTAATGACCCAAAGCAAGAAACAAATTCATTACAGCTGCTCCAGACATAGCCGGGCATACAAATCAAACATTAGAAAAGATCAAAAGATCAGCAAGCAAATCAAAAGGAATCAAACATTACAGCTTCAGATGATCGAACACGACGTGCCGAATCCCATTGCTATCTTCTTGAAGATATATGAACGGAGTTTCCCTTCCTACGTTTCTTCATTGATTTGGTCGGTTTCTCTTCAAGTTTCCCTTTGAATTTTTCATTAGGAACCTCATCCAAGTTGGGGGGTTTCAAAATCTGCACGCCTAGATCGAACCATGCTCGATACAGGTTGGTTAGGATCAGGTTGGTCCCCGTTATCCACCACCACATTCTGCTGCGATGTTGCCTTAACGACAAAAAGCTCAGTTGGCCATTCCTTGGCAACAGGCTGAACAGTCGTGTGCGTCCAATGGATTTTTCTGTGCTGCCTGCAGCAGCTTGTTTGCTGGAACTTTCTTTGCTGCCTTCGGTACTGCGCCTGCCTTCAGCCTTCAGCAGCTCGTTTGCGCTATTTGTTCTGATCGACAACAGCCTTAACGGGGCCGTTCGTATCTTTACTCGTCAGTTCCTTGCTGCCTACAGCAGCCTGATTGTTCATGTTGCAGCCATGTGTTTTGTGGCCGAACACCTTGCATGTCGAACAAAACTTAGGCTCGTGCTCATAATTCACTAGTTAGTCCCTTGAATTTCCCCTGGGTAGTCTAATCTTAACAGACCTGACCAACTCCAAAGAAGCATCGACTTCAACAAGAACTCTCGCAAACGAAAGTTGACCCTTTGTTGCCTTGAGCTTGTCGGCAGACATTGGTTTTCTAACTTTACAGGCAATCTTCCCCAAAGCATTTGGATTCCAACAATCCAATGGTAGCCCTGGTAAAGTTATCCAAATCGGCATAACGTTAATCTCCTTGTCATTGAACTCGAAACATCGAGGCATGGCTTTCAACATCAAAGGTCTCCCAAAAACAAAATAAGGTCCACCTTCAAGCACATAAGTCTTATCATCCGCATTATCGAACTTGAATACCAACCAACTATAAGTGTTATGTCTTAAGTCCAATCAATTTTGGACATAAACACTTTTAATATATAATTGATGCAATTTTATGGCAGATCTATTATTTAATTAATATTCAATTAAATTAAATAATAGAGTCCGTGGATTCTAATATTAGTAATTTGTTAATCACAAGAGATTGTGCTTGTGAGAGACAAATTACATATGACCGAATTTTAAATTATACATGGCCGCAAGTAAT